CCTGTGGTTCAACCAAGCCGGTGCCCTCGTTCACATTTACCACGACGGCTCCGTGCTCGTCGCCCACGGCGGTACCGAAATGGGTCAAGGCCTCCACACCAAGATGACGCAGATCGCCGCTCAAGCTCTCAACGTCCCCCTCGAGAACGTCTTCATCTCGGAAACCGCCACCAACACCGTCGCCAACGCCTCCGCCACCGCCGCTTCCGCCTCCTCCGATCTCAACGGTTACGCCATCTACAACGCCTGCCAACAACTTAACGAGCGTCTCGCCCCTTACCGCGAGAAGCTCGGCCCTGACGCCACCATGAAAGACCTTGCCCACGCCGCCTACTTTGACCGCGTCAATCTGTCTGCCCAGGGCTTCTACAAGACGCCCGAGATCGGCTACACCTGGGGCGAGAACAAGGGCAAGATGTTCTTCTACTTCACGCAGGGCGTCACGGCCGCCGAAGTCGAAATTGACACACTCACGGGCACGTGGACGTGCTTGCGTGCCGACATCAAGATGGATGTCGGGCAGAGTATCAACCCTGCCATTGACTATGGGCAGATCCAGGGCGCGTTTGTGCAAGGTCTGGGATTGTTTACCATGGAAGAATCGCTGTGGATGCGCAACGGACCGATGGCGGGTAACTTGTTCACCCGCGGCCCGGGCACGTACAAGATCCCTGGCTTCCGCGATATCCCGCAGCAGTGGAATGTTAGCTTGCTCAAGGACGTGGAGTGGAAGGAGCTGAGGACGATTCAAAGGAGTAGAGGTGTTGGCGAGCCGCCGCTGTTCATGGGCAGTGCGGTTTTCTTTGCCATTCGTGATGCGCTCAAGGCGGCGAGAGCGCAGTATGGTGTCAAGGCTAAGGTTGGGGCCGAGGGTGGAGAGGATGATGGGTTGTTGAGGCTGGAGAGCCCGGCGACGCCGGAGAGGATCAGGTTGGCGTGTGTTGATCCTATTGTTGAGAGGGCGAGGGTGTTGCCGAAGGAGGGAGAGAAGAGCTTCTTTATTGCTATCTGAGCTATTGTTCTGTTTGCTTACTGCGGATTCTTTACTGGGGTTGGTTCTGTGAAATTTAGGTCTTACTGACGGGAGCATTTATATGTACTTCACGAAGAATGGGGAAACAGGACTGGGTTTTGTGACATTGCAAGGTAGCTTGTTGCAGATTCTTATGCGAGTCAATGATTGATGTCAAGCATACCATACAAACAGAATTTCAAGTACATGGTGTGACAGTCTTGATGTTCTCGATTCGAATGTTGTACACCAACAATGACAATGCTGATGGTGGTCAACTATTCCCTGTTCGACTAGGTCCGCGATCATCTCCCCCTGTTCCTCTCGTCGTCCTCAAAACTCAATCTCATAAACTTATCTTGCAGCATCCTCTCAAAGCTTTTATCAGGACAATAATATGCCAGATTGATGGCAGTAGATCCCCACTCCTGTGCTCGATCTCGCTCGTAGGCTCCATACAAGTCAATGGCATGGTTGAAAGCTGTGGCTGCCATCCACTCTAGCTCTTCTTCCGGCCAACGGGCATCGCTCTAGTGATGATGTTCATGGTTAGCAACGAGGTGTGGTTTAACGTCAGAGTAGCCAAAAAGAGTTAAGATGTAACTAACCTCATGCAACTCCCTCGCCTTGCGACAAGCTTCCTGAAGCAGCTTCATAGCCAGCGTATCATCCAGCGGAAGTGTCGCCTGGAACAAACACCTTGTGTACTTGGCTAGCTTGACAGCGTCGAAGCTTTCCAAATCCCAGATTTCGTTGACAAGCTTACGCATAGTTGAGTAGAGCGCTGTACAAGCCAGTGTGTCAGTAGCCCCCAAACCGAATACGAGATAAGCATGATAAAGATCACATCGTACCTTGCCCGGGAACCTGTGCCCTCAAAAGACTGTCCGCCATAGTCTGAAATGCCACAGCATTTCGACATGGCACTGCCTTCTGCACGATCCCTCCTAGATCATCCCACTGACCTAGCGCAACCGCCGCTTCAAAGTCGAAGGTCAGCAATGTCGCATGTTTCCGTACCATATCCTCTCGCGACTGCTCATCCAAGCGTGACAGGTATTCAGGAACCAGACGGTCAAAAGCCGAGACATGTTTTCGCATCAATTGGTAATCTTCGAGTTGCTCGTTGACATTGTCCTGAGTTCTGGCAAAGGAAACAAGGGCCGAAGCCATGATGAAGCGAGAGAAGAGGGCTTTGAGGGTAACTTCGACTTGAGATCTCATGTCGGAGGGGAAATGGTTGATAATATTGACGCAAGCCGTTAGTAGACGCACCACGCAGCGGAGGTCCCAGCTTGTGGTATGTTTTAGGGCGAGGTTATAGGCATTTCTGCTAAACCATTCGAGTTCGTCGATGGTGAAGAGTTTTGGAGTCTGGGGGTCGTTTGACTGCCGCTCAAGGGCATACACGACTGATGCTGTTAGCAACAAGGTAAAGGTAGTTTGGAAAAACCGGGGCTTACCAATGTCAAACTGACGGCAAAGGTCGCTGATGAAATCTCCTTGTCGCTCATCTGGCTTCTCGGCTAATATATTCAGGAGCCGTATCAAGCATCTGAAAAGCGCTGGTAGGTGGATAGGGCTGGGATCTTTGTACTCGTAATTCTCCTGAAGTTTCTTCAGCGCGGCGATGGCACAGAATATGTCTCCCTTTTTGTGAGACTCTGCAATACAAGCCCCCAGAAAGTCGACGTGCTCTGGCGCCTGGCCTATGATATGAATGCATTGTTCCGCTAAGTTGCGGTCCTCGCATCGAATAGCTACTTTGAATGCCAGATATGCAGTCATAGGCTCTCCCCAACTTTGCTTGGACAGATTGTGAACCACTGATATAGCTGCTCCCATCTCATTCTTTGCGAGCGCACAAAGGAGCAACTTCCTACTCAAAGTCAGAATATTGTGAACCAAGGCAATAAGTCTAAAGGGAACATGACTGGATACCTTTCCAGCTTTGCCACATTCCCAGGTCCGCAATTCTGAAAGATGTGATGGAGTGACAAACGACACCAGTTCTCGGCTATGTCATATTGTCTTTGGCTGTAATTGGACTCTAGTTTCTTCCATATCAACTAATTCACAGTCAGTAAGTAGTACCTGGAACGGAAATTCGAGATATATATACCGCTTGCGCTGCAACAGCAGCTTCTGCGCTCAACGGCCTCGTCAAGTTTGAGAGAACACCTCTTACAGTGTCAATAGTCTCGTTTGTGTCTCTCTGGCTTGTTATCATCCACATCCGCGTGATAACCGCCTTCTCCATCCAAACATCTTCGTCAACTCCGCGTAGCGAGAGAGTGAAATCGTCTAGTACCGCGCAAGCAGCGCCAGGACTTTTGTCGTGTAGTTTCCTTATGTGGTGTACAATCAACTTGAACCCAGCGTCAGAGGAGTTGAAGTCTTTAATCAGTCGTCGCAAGACATCAGCGTATGCGTCATCGTCAAATATCTCCGCCGGCGTCTTCCGAAGCACCTCGAGTTTGAGGAGGGACACTACTGGCCTATTGCCCATCTCGGACTCGATGTATTCAACAAGCTTCGTGGCCTTGTCCAGATCTGCTGAAGCGCCTGTGGCTAGTAGGGCGCTCACGAGTGCTTGCAAGATAGCCAGCCGGAGCTCGAGTCCTTCACGAGACAGATGCTCGAGATTCGGAGTGTTGATAATTTCGTTTGCTCGTTGGAACCATTTTTTGGCGAGAGGGAAGTCGTTGCGGGAGGCGAGTGACTTCCCGATTTCGTACAGGACATCAGCCAGCTTTTCGGCATACTCGGGGGTTAGGTACTGGCGAAGGCGCTCTGCCTTTGTGTACATGTGTTCGGCAACATCTACATGATTATCTGCCCATGACTGACACTCGGTGTTAGCTCACTGTAGGTGTAAAATATCATCCCAGTGCTGGCCAGAACTCACTAAAGCCGTTCTCATAATCAAGTATTCCACTTCCAGACAGTTGTATTCGTCCACCTCCTCCTTGGCAAGCCCTGATGCAAGATCTTGAAGATGGCTTTTGTAGTCGGCGGCCTTTTGTAGTACCCTAGTGGCCAGTTCAAACTCGGAGCTTTCTAGACGTTAACGCTCTCTATCAGCCACATGGAACACGGCACATATTCAGTGAGTGAGGGCTTGTCCATACCGACACAGTCTCGCGCCGCCTTGAGCGCCAGTTTGATCACATAGATCAAATCTTGTGCCTTGCTCGTTTTGATTGGGTTTGCAACCACAAGTAAATGGAAGGCAAGGACGCGCCCGTGGAGATGAAGCCTCTTCAGTCTCTTGTTTGTCGGTTCGCAGTCCCGGCGCAGTCGAGTGCAAATATTCCATAGGCGGGTACCCTGCCGGTCTATCTCGGGGTCGCCAGAGACTCCGGCACCGTGCTTGTGAGTGTGATTGTGAAGTTTCTTGACATGTTGGTTGATTTCATCAACCAGCTGGTCTGTTGCCGGTGCATCGCTTGGGTCACTCGACAAGATCTTGTATAGATGGCGAACGAAATCTGAGAGAAGAAGAGCTAATGTCAGCTTGGCGAACGGTAGGAATCGAGGAAGAAAAACCAAGATGAAAGCGCACCCAACGCTGCTTCTATGTGCTTGTCTGTCTTGTTGGCTGATTGCGACACATGCTTGTTTCGTGTTGGGATGGGCATATTGTAATTTGGGAGCGAGAAGCTTCAACACGACGTGTTACCAACATTGCCTTGTCTGCGACTGGTTATCTTCAAGTCGTCTTCACCGGACAAGCCGGCGGATGAGGCGGTCTGGAAAACCTGGCGTAGCGCAGCGGGAAAGCACGCCGTTCAAAAGCAGGATACAATACTAAAGCAGAGAAGGAAAGAACGCTGGAGGAACACGAGGTCAAGCACAGGTGAAGTTCTTTAACGGAACACACCGCTGGGACATGGCTCCTGGCTTGAATTGCCGTCAGGGGGTAACTTCTGATATTCTCTTTTTTTTTTTTTTTTTTTTTTTTTTTTTTTTTTTTTTTTTTTTTTTTTTTTTTTTTGGGTTGCTCAGAAGACCATGTAGTTCCAAGTTGCAATGCAATGATTAGGTAAGGTTTGCAGTGTCAAGTGAGGAACGCTGCAGTGAAATTGATCAAGTTTTGCCCAGGTGTACCCATCGAAATTAGGCATCACCGAAGAAGCGCCAGCCCCTTTCTGTCTTTCCGCGGAAGGCGCGACCTTCTTCTTGCCTTTACGTTGCCCTACTCCTTCCGCCATTTATTACTAGTTTGCGCGACCTAAATGCGTATCCTGCCCACTCACGATGAGCACGAAGTCCCGTATCGAGCATGGCCATACCAGTAACGCGAGGTAGTTCTTGTGGATTGTCGCAAACCCAGGTACTGTTTTCCGCGCTTCATGCTTTTCCGACCAAAGCTACGTAGCAATGGCTAATGGCAAACAAGTGTCGCATTGTTCATCGGCATTGCCGATCACAGGAGTACTGATTTGGGAAAACAATATTGTGGCAGGGTGTATACAAAACACTGTCATGGGTCGTGAGGGAGGAAGTTGCCAACAATCAAGCTCGGACTACATGTACTTGTTAGCCTCACCACCATACCACTTTGCCTATAACAAACACAGGGGATCCGTGAAAAACAAAAGACACTTACATCTTGTGATCGTCCCTCCGGATCCTGAAAGAAAAGCAACAGTTCACAACTTTGGTCCCCTTGTCATCGTTGGGGTTCTTGAGTGAACACGCGGTGATCAGGGTATCGTGAGCCGGGTCGAATGCTATTGTGCCGAATTCTTCCCAGTATCTCACGTTCGACTCTTCCGTCAGGATCTCATGCAGGGCGATTTGACCCTAAGCAAAACCAAAGTCAGCATCATAGATAATATTCCACGTCGGCGCATTGGTGTTGTGTCTCTTACCCCTCGTAAACTCTCTACTGGCACGCCTATGAGCTCCGCCATCTCTTTGTTTCCCCTAAAAATCTGTCCGGTTCGTCTCCAGCAACAGGCTGGAACGGCCATACTGGCGAAAACTCGGTCGTACTCCAACAGCGTCCTCTCGAACCACATTTCCACCATCAGCAGGTCCATATCAGTCAATAATTGTATCTTCTCGCGGAACTTGGGCCGGAACCGGTCGATCTGCTTCAGAATCTTTTGTTTTGACGTCGGCGACACGTGTCCATCCAGATAATCCGAGAGCCTCTTATAGCCAAGGATGTAGTTGAACGGCTTTAATAGTCCGGCTTCGTACTTGGCTCGTAGCAAGCGCTGCATGCGTTCCTCCGGTGTGTCGTTTCCAGACGGATCTGCCGCTTGAAGATAGTATGCATCCCGGGCATTATCCAAGTTTGTACTCGCGGGCTTCCCTATCGCCGTTGTTTGGTCGCTACTTGGTGGTAGCATCGAGGTCCCTTGTGTGGCACTTGGGGGGAGCATGCCGCTGTTGCTGCTGCTATTTCCCTTGCTGTTACTGCTAGCATTGTTGGCGTTGTTATTGGCATTAGGCAATCCCGACACCGCAGACTGGTTTGCCCCCAATATTAGGCCATGATCATCGGACATGAAGGCCGACTCCTCAAGCAAGCCTGCCGACAAGAATTCGTTCAGTAGATTGAATTCATTCGTAACCTCAGGTGCCACCATGTAGTTTGGATGGAAGTTGTGCATGTCGTGATAGTGGTTTTGAGTGGTTAACCAAGAATCCGGAAGACCGGCAACTATGTTGGGCAATTTCAGCAAACTGACTGACCATGGTGGAGAAAGGCAAAAGGAGGATCCAGCGCCGACACTCACATTGATTCATGCTACCGCCAAGGGCGCTGGCTTGTATGCCAGCAACAGAACCTGGTTGCACGAGCTGGAGAGGAGCGCCCCGGCCTACCGCTGCAGCACCTGCTACCTGGACAGATCCATTGCCCATACCGCCATCAAAACCGGGTGGTCTCATGGTCTTGTCCGTAGCGTTGCGCCCAATGTCCGGCTGGGACTCGGAGTCATGTAAGGTCGAAGTCCCAAGCACGCTCTTGGCCTTGCGCGACTCGGTATCGCGAGGCTCATCGTGGCAGAGATGGCCGATATTTCGCTTGATGCATCTTGTACAAGGTCTCTCCTGTGAATGGTAACGAGGAACTCGTTAGCTAGAGCTCCACCTTGGCGAAGGGGGGAAGAATACATACAAGATCACACGTCATGTGCTAAGGCAGCCAAAACAACATGGTCAGCCACCAGGATAACTAGTAAAGTCTGTGTGTATATCGAGACCGAGCGGGGTCTTCTGCAGGACTCCGTACTATGGCAGTTACGGTAGCCCATGTACGAAGCCTGCCTGGGTAACTAGCACGGCAGGAGATGGGGTGTCGGTGGTGCATTTTGGTCGACTTACAGATCGGCGACAGTAAAGGCAGGCTACAACAGGCGCACCAGACAGAGTTAGCAAGCTGAAGTAGAGCGGTCAAGTGGTGTAGGCAGGAAGACAGCGGAAAAAGTACCATGATTGACCTTGCGGCGCTTCTTGGGCGCCTTTTGCACATCGTCTGCGGGCGTGGGATGGTGATCCTTGGGCTTGGTGTCGCTTCCGGACTTGATGATGTCCTTGGTTCCCGCCTCTTTGCCGTTGGGCTTTTCCGTGGCTTCTGTTCCCGTCATTGCTTATCGAGTGTAGAGGCTCCCATTGGATCTGGTGGTTACGCAACGGCCGTTGAGTTCACTGCTCATCTAAAGCCAGGCCGGCGGCTCCTCGCAGGGGGATGATGGCAGTTTGATGTTGATTCCGAGCCAGCCTTTGTTGTGGTTTGTTCTTGCACCTCTTTCTCCCAAATACGAATCTTCTCTTTTAACAAGCTCGGGCGTTGTTGACGTTTGACGGATGTTTTCTCCGGTATTATTCTTTGGTGTTCTGCTCGGGTTCCCCGGTCGGTTGGTACTTGGTAGTAAGCTCGTTTCGTTAGGGTTGCCTCGGCTCGTCACTTTTCGTCTGTATAGGTAGCGGTCGCGTTCCTCTGTGGTTATGGTCCTGACTGGATCGTTCGCAAGTGGTTACGGGCTCGGTCATGCGACTGCGATGGACATTGATTCAAGACGGCAATGGTCGTCGACTGGCAGTAGTACTGGGCAGGTTTCTGGCGGTTCGTCTCGGGAAAATGGCTCTCTTGTCAAAGTTCCGTAATCGATACTTTTTGTTTGCCGGCACCGAGGGAACCTCATTGGCCTCCACTGTCGCGCAAGCTCAATTGCATGCGGCGTCTCCCATGTAATGGAACCTGAAGGATGCAACAGACGGCCAGAACGGCAGGGGTTCCTCTTGTCCGCCAGCCCTCATTCGCCAGGACCGCTGGACAGGAGGGGATGGACACCCACAGGTGCCTTGCTGCAGGGCTGGCCACAGTGTGTAACCCGCTGTAACTTTCCTTACACACCTTCAAGTCGTCGAAAACAGCAAGTGGGGTTCTGAAGCCTGGATTCCTTTCTCCAGCTGATGAATTTCGAGATGTCGATGTTGACCTGAAAATCGGTGTTTCACATGTACCAGGAATATCATTAAGCCATTACATATCCTTGCGGTTATTGAATAATAAAGTAAAGACACATCAATACAGAATCAAAAGGGAAACAAAAACAACCAAGAACCAATGTTCAGTGTCCCTTGTGATCATGCGTCCTCTTTCCGTTTCGGGAGCCTCCAATCAAAACCGAGGCCAATGCTATGACTTACATAATATCCAATTTGTCGGCATTTTAGTGCACATACCGACTCCATGTTCAGTCTTTACATGTGACTCTTCTGCAGACCATCATGTTCGTGTTGGGTTTACTTGATATACATAGTATATGCCTGAACAACAACTCCAACGTTGCAGAAGCACATATAAAGAAAGACATAAAGTCATGCGCAGTACCCTGTTGACTCAGAAGGCAGATGTGTTCAAGTTCTCCATCTTCCAGGAGTAGCGCATGAGTCTTGCTTCGATGTCCCTGCAGAGATCCAACAGGCGGGCGGTCTTAACCAGGCTGTGTCTAACTAGCCAGAGCAGCCAATAAGGGCCGTTTCGTTTCACAGCAGGCAGTAAGAAATCGTGAGCCTAATTGATGCACTAGGTCTAGAGCGGGGAAGTCTGTTGACCGCAACCAAGTGAACCTACCTCTCTAAGACTTCATGCTACGAGATGGCTATCTTGTATTGACCTATTGCCTGATTATAAGGGGGCTGAAACCCCATCATTGTCACTCAGTTCAACATCACCCCACCGAGTACCTATGACGCCGAGCCTTTAGCTGACATTCACTTCTCAGATTCAAGATCCTCAACTCCCTGTCGTGTATCTCGCAACTCGTCCCAGCTTTGGGGGCAACAACATCAAAGTGTTGGCCAAATATGATCTCATGGCACCGAAACTCGTGCGGTCGACCAGATGTCTGTTTGGTGGACGGAGGCATACCCTTTTGCATGAGTTGCGACTCGTTGGCGCCTTTGGACGACCTGTCACCCAGTCAGGTCCCGTCAAACCCATCGGTTCTATATCATGACGAGACAAAGGCCCTATCACTGCACTGGCCAGCTTCTGTTGACTACGAGACCCATTGCTACGACTCCAATGGTTGCGATATCTCATCACAGCTTGCAGAGATTCTCGGTACCGAACCATGGGACGAGACGAGCAGGCCATCCAGCGACTCAAGTATGAAAGCAAACGATGGAGTTTCGTCTTGCGAACCATTGTCTTCAGGCCAAAGGCCAAGACAAGGGGCCATAAACCCGCCGTCACCAAATCCACGACAAGATAATCTTGTCGCGTCCGACAGTATTCGAATCTTGCATCTCAGCAAGGGCAACAAGTCTGATCCGTTGCATGGCCGCTTGGAAGTTTGCCAACTCAAATACTTCCCTGAATATGAGGCGCTATCTTACACCTGGGGCACTGCATCAGGAAACTCGAGCAGGACGAGGAAGCTTTACCTGGGACGCGAATGGAGCATACTTCCCATCACCATCAATTGTGAGGCGGCTCTACGCGCCCTCCGTCTTCCCGATGCCGACCGACGCATATGGGTCGATGCAATTTGTATCAACCAGGAAAACGACACGGAGCGTACCCACCAGATTCAGCTGATGCCCATAATATATGCGACCGCAACCCAGGTAGTCATCTATATTGGCAATGAGAAATGGGAGGTAGATATAGGATGGACTTACAAAATCGAACGACAACAACGAACTATAACTCGCAACCAATGGGAAAAAAATTGGGACAAGATGGACAGCCGACTAAAGTGCCACTACTTCTTCCGAAGCTGGATAATCCAGGAGATTGCCGCTGCTCGAAAAGCTTGGGTTACCGACGGATCATCGTGGCAACCGTGGCCCATCATCGATGCCCAGGCTGAGGGATATGCTTCAAGGACATTCCTTCCCTGGATCAAAGACTTTGAGACACGCAAATACAGGTTGCCCGGTTACTTGGGGAGGTTGGTGATGGACTCCTGGTCTTCACAGGCGTCTGATCCACGAGACAAAATATTCGCCCTTCTTGGGGTTGTCACAGGGGCTGCAGCTGATGGTTTAGTCGGGGACTACTCTCTCTCAGTCGAACAGGTGTAGGTGGCTGCTTGACAAGAGCACTTGATCATCAGGAATTCTATAGACGCTAACTTGAGCTGCAGATATACTGGTTTAGCCGCATTTGCCTTGACCAAACATGGAGAAGTCGACATCCTCCGTTACGCCAGCGGATACACAAAGTCGAGGAACCTGCCATCTTGGGTACCTGACTGGCGCCTCCTCTCACGCGACTGGGGAATCATGCTACGAATGGAACATGTAGAGCTGCAATCTGTCCCAGCGCCCGTTGAATGCATCCAATACCCATGGCAGCTGCGTCGTTGGGGTGAAGATGGATGGGTTCGGAACAAGACTGATGATGTCATATCTGATGAGCTCACCCTTCCAAAGGCGACAGTTCATGGGCCTACTGGTACGCTGTGCGTCCATGGAATTAGGCTAACAAGCCTGACGAAAAAGTTTAAACGACATGACTTTTCAACACATGCTGTCTTTTGGGGGGATTTCTTCAGCGTCACCGCACCACACAACTCGGAATTTGATGACTGCATCTATTTTCTCCGCGGGTTTGACGTACCGGTAGCCCTTCGCCCGGTGCGAAAGAAGACTCGCTATGGGCTTCCTAGGAAAGACTTGTTTACATTCGTCGGCTTGTGCTATGTTAGCCCCGGCTCCTTGATCACACTAGAAGGTCCGGATTTGAGGGCGGACTATCCTGATGATCTTGCACAAATATCACAGTGGACTGTTTTACATGCTTCTACCGGTTTCTTCGAAGGGTTGCGGATGGAAAACACTCAAACTCTCCATCTGAAGCTAGCCGAAATGTGCTCCGCAGCCCATACGGAATATTCTGCGTGGCAAGTAGCCTTTCTCATAGATCTCAGACAACGGGTCAACATGATTTGGGACAATGTTCTACACCGATTCGGAAAGGATGCATTTGCCCTGGCAGCTTGGCGTGGTGCATTGAGCGATCCAGACGAGGCATGTGCAGGACAGTCAAATTTCTGGTCCGAAACCATAGTACTGAGCGACCTAGAAGCGGCATTTGCAAGACAGGCAAATTTCTGGTCCGAGATCATTGGTCAACTGATGACTGCTTCGATGTCATCTCGTGAAGAAATGAAAGAGAAGCTCCGACAACAACGGCGGCAACTACAGACACTGGGCGAGACTATGCGCATCTTGCGTGTTAAGGCAACGGAGGCGGGAAATGCCCCAGACGCAAGCATTTCCGAAGAACTTGATTCACTTGCTAAGGATCGCTTTTCATACAGACAGAAGCTGCCAGCTCGACAGCAAGAGGAAGGTGACAGATACTGTCCAAGATGGTACGACTTTGCGGGCGTCAGTTTATACTGGTACAACATGCGATATATCCACGCCATAAAAGCTGCCAGCTACCTTGAACAGGCTCTGGTGTATATGGATACTGCGCACGCAGAGAACTCGAGCACAGCGGCGTCCGTGTTAAAGGTCAACATTGATGCAGCAACAGAGTACCAAACAGCGACGTGCATAGCCTCGTGGGAAATCAAATTGGCAGCCAAGTCATTGGTGCACCCAATGTACGAGACGGATCCTGAAGAGGCGATGGATGATTGGCAAAAAATATTCATCATCTAAGTTTGTTGTTCTCGCGCCGGAGCCTGCCCTGCTTCTGGGGCCACCCTGACAGCGACAGGGAACCTTGATATCTCAACCTTTGTAAAGATCTGAAACGGCATCACTAATTTCTCGATGACCAGAAGACGACGCCTTTCTTTTCTTCCCTTTCTTTCTTTCTTTCCTTTTTTTTTTCTTTTTTTTTTTTCTTCTTCCTCCCGGCTTCGGCGTCAATAAGGGTGAAACATCGCACTAAAGACAAAGAAGGCCGATGCCCCCCCTCTCATTCATACGCTTACAGCCTGATGACAGCTCCTGAAGCAAGCAGCAGCTTTACTCAGCCATCTTAATTGCCGAGCCATGGCTATTTCAACGTTGTCACGGTAGCGTCAGCTTCAAAATGCTGCAAAAGTGCCACTGCCTGCCCCTGTTAACCCAAAAGTGAAGGTTTCCCGGAGTCACGCCAACCTGTGCACATTTTCCGGCTGCCTGCTGAAGAAAAGCAGGTGACCGCTCGCCTCTACGAGAACAAATCGACACTATCATTTTCATAAGGCCAGAGGCTGAGACGAGCTGAACAAAGGTTGACGCAAACATTACCAAATCATATTGTCCACGGTTGAGTGCCTGGATCGTATACTACGCCACTGTTGATGGTAGGCTACTAGCCCCATCCACAGTTGCTGACTGCATGATGTAGGTGAGACGGTCTAAGTGGGAGCCAGCCTCGTGATGACATGATTTTGACGCTTGGCAAACTCGAAATGATAAGCTCGAAATATCTTGCTGATTCCACAATTTACGTTGGCTGGATCCTCCCCAAATCATAGTATAACTTAAAAGTAGACATGAGGGATCGTATAGCACGGGCGATGACCTGTTGTAGAGGCTGCCTCTCGCCGGGTGCGGGCCGAAACAGAGATGGGCTGCAACAGCAGGATTCTAGCCCCTCTCAGCCCCTGTCCCTGGGG